GCTCTTGCTACGCAGGGGTGAGAGAGTCATCTGGCATGGCAGCAGTGGGAAACTGCCGGCAGCGGGAAGGGCAAGCGACCAAGCCGACATGCTGCTGGCTCAGCTCTTAAACCTCACACAGCCTCTTGTGCCCAGGGACGTGCATTACGCCACAGCGTCTGTGCCAGCGAGCCGGTGGCAGCGCGGGGGCTCGGGGTGGAGCAGACGCTCTCCGGGGACGGGAGGTGATGTGGCAAGACCCACAGGCCACTGCAGCTGTGCAGAGGAAGGAGGGTGGTGCCATCCCTCCTGTACAGCAACGCAGCCCCAACCATGAGCCCTGGCACCGACTCCTTGCTCTGGTTAGAGCTGTCCCTTTCCCTCAGAGAAGGAGAAGTAACTCCTTTGTACCAGTGGATGAAAGCCATTAGGCTTGTTTGTGTTAGAAAGGAAAGGCACAGGAGCCAAGAGGTGTCAGCACACACATTTGCTGTTCAGGGCCACTGCTCACCCAAACCTTAGCCCGCAGTAACGCCGCCTCAGCCAGAACAGCAAAACCCAAAGACAGACAAAGGTTTGCACATACTCTGGCTCCCATCTTGGTGTTTGGGCCACTACAGAGCAGGTTATTTGCTCTATCTTGTAGGCAGAAGCGCTCCTGTGTTTTCAAGGTACTGGACTTTCCATGTATTCTCCAGAGGGGGCCGTGGCTGGTGGTGAAGCAGATTGCAGGCGGGAACAGCAAAGCCAAATTAGCAACTAGCACCCAGGGACTGGCTCTTTCTCCTCCTGAGCTCACGCTTCACGAGCAGCCTGCCTTTTTTCTCCACACAGTGGTGGAAGAACAGCAGCGAGCACAAGCTACCACATCAGCTGAAGGATGCAGAGGGGATGGTGGCCCCCGGGCAGCTCTGTCTGGTGACACCATTCGGAGGGGCAGCCAGGCTGCTGAGAAGTGCCGGTGCAGGCAGGCGCAGGCAGCACAGCGGCAACCCCGGCAGGGGAGCTGCCGTCGATAACACGGAGCCTTTAGCTGGATGTCAGCAACTCTCACAGAACCAGAGCAGTGATCAGAGGTGGGAACTCGGAGGACAAAAAGAGCAGCAGGAGCTGCTCTGTGAGTAAGGACAGCGATATTAATGAAAGAGCTCGCTCCACGGGCAGGAAACCAAGTGGTGGCTGAAACAGGGGCTTCTGCCAGACTGGCATCTTGCTGTGCACACTAAAAAGCACAAAACTGATTTCCAGCTTCAAAGGACACTCAGTTCAGTTTATTGCAGGTGATTGCTAACTAACACCATTCTAAAAACACCAGCTGATGGAAACCTGGATAGGTCTTTCAGCAGTGCACGATGTAACCAGTAATTGCTGCTGGATAAGCGCAAAGTGGGTGCCTGCTGCACAGCAGCACCGCCGGCATCGGCTCCCTACGGACCGGAACACAGAAGATTCGTGACCAACGCTCGGGGGTCGGCGCCGTGGCAAAGCACCCAGAAATGCTCCCTTTGCTGTGACAGACAGCAGTAATTGCTAACGCACTTTTCCCTGAAGGTGCTCGGGAGTTGTTTCCCGCTCCTTTAAGAAAAAAAGGCTTTTTTTAAACTGCCTTTGGAAGACTCAGTAAGAAACCACTCTGAAGTGATGCCCTCCTCTTTTCTCAGTAGGATTAAGACAGATTTATGAAACTGATGTTACATTAGGAAACGGCTTAAAGGGGGAAGAGGGAAGAAATGAGATTGAAATAACATTTATTCTCCTTCCAATTATTTCAGAAGCATTAGGGAAAGCCAACAGAAGAGTTGGGAAGAAGAACCCTTAGCAGAGTCCCTGGGAAAGCCCAGGGGTCGGTGACAAGAAAGCACACCACACTGGTAGTTACCAGTTCTCATTTACAGAATCAGTTTTCTCTGGGAGAAAAAAAAAAAAAACAAACACAAAACCAAAAACAGAAATCCAGTGGCAAGAGATAATTCTGTGTCTGACAGTTTAGTCATTCGTAATCTGAATTTGAACTTCGAGGTTACTCTTTGTTACTGACATGGGGTTCTCCCCATTACACAAATAAACTAATTTCTCACCTTCAATTCCATTTCCTTTACTATTGCGTAAAAATCCCATTTTGGAGAGGAAGGCTAAAATACATTTCCATGACTCAAGTTAACCTTTATTGGAACAGTCTTGTTAGCAAATCTAGCAGAAACTAAGTGAGTTCCCAAGGAATTAAATCCTTTCCACCGCAGCAGATCTTACCCACGACGAGCTATAGCTCACAGTAGAGAGCTCTGTGGAAGACTGTGCCGATGAGCAGTTTTCCCTCGTAGACGGATGCCACCGAGCTTCCCTGCAGCACAGAGCCGTTGTCGGCGTAGACGCGCGTCACCGCAGGCTCCTCCGAGAGGATGTTCTGGATGCGCAGGACCTGCCGGAGGAGGGGGATACATCTGCTGAAATGGCCAGGGGTGAAAAATCCTCCACGGATGGAGGGACGATCAGTATGTTAACCTAAACAAATTAGTTATTTAGGTTGATCAGCTGCTGATAACGACAACCAAGTGATTCCTGTGATAGGGCCACAATTTCTGCTTGTGTGAAGCATGGTCCATGAAGGTTGATTATATTTTTTTAAGTGGGTGTGCAACAGAGACTCCACCTCAGTAAGTAAGTAAGGCAGTCATCCCTCGCACTAAGCATGTGCAGTTTTTTCCAGCCTAAGAGTTACTTAATATCTTCTTATTTTCACGCTTTTTCCAGCCAGAGTAAACAACTGCCTAGTATCATAAATCTACTGCTATTGAACACGACAATTTTGAAAAGTGTTTTATGGGAAGCTTCAGACAAGGCTGAAATCAAACGGACACCAACCAACCACTGCACTCATGGCCGCTAGCGCGCTGATGCCAGTATCTCATTGATTTCAGAAGGAAGAAGAATTACAGTGTCACCTACTGATGAACCACACTTGCACAGATAAATCATTCCAGTGTGAATGTTTCTGGTCGTGCTTTGCACTCAGTCAATTATTTTTTGTTTGGCAAAGAGGTGCTGGCTCGGTAATTAACACAGTTCATCAAAATCTGATTGCGCAGCCACAGCTGCACAGAAAACAGCCTGCGGAGTCCAGAATGACTGAGTTACTGGGTGAAAATTACTCAGTTGTCTCCTAAGGATCTGAATAGGTGTTTGTTAGTGAGTATACGCTGTTCAGGCTTTCCACTTAAGAGCAGAAGCTATAAGCTGGAAGCCAGCTCGGTCTTTGATTTCACAAAGGCTGGCCAGGCTCTTCTCTATGTAATGCAGAGTTAAGTTACACCAGGGTGATTTGAACACAGCAACTTTCTGGCAGAGACATAGCCAAGAGACCAGTGACATCTCCCAAAAGGCACCTCAGAGGCAGGCAGATTTTCAGGATCGTTGTAGAACAGCTTCATCCCATTGGGATGACATCCTATCCAGATGTCTCCAGTGTGAGGGTCAATAGACAGGTTGTCAACCAGAGTGTCCAGCTGCAGTGTCTATCCATCACAACGGAAAAAGAAGAAAAAGAGAGAAGTTAAAGCACTCAGAAGTCCTGGAAGCAAACTATAACATAATCAATAGACTTGTCCAAGACTCTCATCTGACATAACTTAGACTGATTTTTTAAAAAGTATTTTCTTCCCCAATGCTGTTTTTCTTTTCCCCCAGTATGCTTCATCCCCTCCTCTGTGCCGTGAGAAACCTCCTTGCTGCTCTGAGCTTCCCCCATCGGCTGCATTCACACCTACACTCCTCTTGATTACTTCGGCGCTTTGTGGACTAACCCATGCTGACTGCGGCAGACTTCCACTGCGGCTCTACAGCATGCCCAAGGATCCCTCTCTGGTTGCCAGTGGGAGGGTGGAAGACCTGAAGCTCTGTAACAGAGTGCAGAGCACCTCTGCAAACCCACGGCAGGAGCCATCCAGACCAGAACTTCACACATGATCAGGTTGAAATCTCAAGCATTCATGAAGACTAATCTGTCCAAAATTCATATATGCCTCTTTCTTTGGAACAGCAGCACCTTACCTTCACATGGGTTAAATTCCAATTAGCCTGTTTTTCCATAACATGGACATTATGATCAAATATATCTGCAACATAGATGTACCTTGAAAAGAAAGCACCTCTTAGCAATGTGTATGAGTAAGGAGACACCAAAACCTGTCAGTTCCTCCTGTGCAAGCCCAGCGCTTCCCATGAGGAATGCCACCCCACTGTTCTCACACAGCAATGGACATTGCAAGCAGGCCACAGGGCACTGAATTGAAGCCAACCTGCTGCGACCCTACTGTAGCTTCACACTGCACCAGTTCTTCCATTACGACACTGAAGCAGCCCTTGGATCATGAGATCCGCAAATATGCTTTTTTTTTAAGACCACCCGTCTACACCACAGGACTGGTTAATTCAGTCGTACAGACTTTAAGACTTGAGAGCATTCCCCACTTGCAGAAATCCTGGCCCATTAAACCTTGCAAGCAACATACACAAACTTCTGTATCGGCTGGTTAAAATGCAGCAACCTTGATCTTACTGCATATAAACTACCACGCAAAGCAGGAAACATTGCCTCTAGAGACCGAGACACACGACTTCTGTTCTACAAACCCTCCGTATCGCTTGCATTGTACAGGTAGCACCTTGTCTTACATGAGCCAGTTTAGACACTTGACCACAGAGGTACCGGGTGTACAAATTAGGATTTCGGGATTCTTTTGTGTGATCAAACAAAATCTAAGGCAAGGAGAAACTTACTTTCTGTCGGGTGAAATGTTAATTCCATTGGCTGAATAAAACCCAGCTGCTACTTCTTTAACTTCTTTTGGACTGTAGTAAACAACATTTGACCAAGTTAAACCCAAGAACATCTCCAAGAACATCAAGATGAAGTCGGAGAAGTAGTGGTCATTGGTAGCATAGAAGCTGTCTGGTCCCATAGCTACTATATCATTCACACTAAAAAAAATAAAGAGAGAGGGAGAAAGATAAATAAAAGAATGAAATGAGAGGTATGAAGGAGCATTGCAGGACTGCCCAGAATCCAGTCAGGACATGGTCATCCCATAGACATAAAGGGGCTGCAATTACATATGGTACTTCAGAGAGACACCAAATTATTTAGATCCTTTTTACTTCTATTTTCTTTTACGTGAGCCAGAACTGTGCAGTGCTGAGACCTGAACAGGACCAGAGGGCATCAGCTAGAGATCTGGCTACCTGTCCCTAAGTCCATGGAAATTTGTCTCTCTTTTGATGACATTCAACTGGAAACCAGACAACAGGTAGGAGTTGTGACAACTTTATCTATCAGGCTCTGTTTATCTTTCTTACAATCGTTTTGCAGGACAGACCAAGAAAATTTTGTATGTGACAAAAAAAGAGAAAAAGCTAAAAGTATGTTTATTTTTACAGTATAGAAAATTGAGAATAATAGAGTATCTGAAGATTCATATCTGCAATGACCCGAGAGTGGGTTACATGAGAGAAGGAGAAACGGATGCCAAGCTAATTCACTGGCATCAATCACAAGGGCGCTTAAGACTGATTCAGTGACACAACTATTAAAAATCTCATTTACAGAAGAGATTGGAGAAACACAGTTTTTGATTACACAGATAAGAAGCAATCAATAAGAGAAACAGGAAAGCTGGCTAAAGAGAAAACATCTCATATTAATAATACCCTAAAACCAAAATCATCCTACTTTGGATATTACCAAAGCAGCCTGTTCTTCTGGGGGAAGACGCTATTTGGCTCCAATACCTTGTCAGAAGGTCGTGTTGAATGGTTTTCAGGTGTACAAGAGAACTGTCGTCTTCTACAAATTTAAACAGTTCTACTGTGCTCTTCTGATGGGGATGGTTCACAACAAAGAGGTACACGGTGTCGTCTTAAAAAAAGAAATGGAAACAGCTGAATTCTCTGCAACAGTTTGTGCGGCTGAGCACCCACAGCTCTGAAGCAGCCTCTAGTACAGAGCACATGTTGGGTTTGGTGCATTTGTCTCATGGCTCTTCAGAGGCAGAAGGACAAGTACCAAAGTAATGCAGGAGGCCACTGCAACTGGATCCAGATCTCCAGCCACTCTTCTCCCGGGCTCACTCTACAGGAAACTGCTGTGTAAGCTACTTTTTTACTATTTCTACCAAGGAAGAAAGAAACCATGGCTTCATCCTTGCGCCCAAGCCACTGGGTTTTGCAATCTGACGCACTGTAGTGACTGGTTGCATGAAATGGCCAGTGACTGGTGGCATGAAATGGGAAGGAGGGCTTGTAGCCCAGCCAGTTTGGGCTCTTTGGTTTATTTACCGCATCTCCTGCGAAAGCTGAAGGAGCATCCTTCTCCTGTACTCTGTGTAAGGCTGCAGTCCTTCTGCCCAGCCCTTCTGGTGAAACCCTGAATTAGCCACCACCAATTTCTCCAACACGTTCCCTTAAAGGGTGACCGTGTGGGGACGCACGTCAAGCTGCAGCGGTGGTTCTCTTTCTCTTAATATTTGCAGACTTCTAATTGCCCTGCTAAAATCCCCAGTGAAAGGACAGGGGAAAAGAAAGGAAGGAGAGCATGAAAGGTATTTTATTGGCAGTCAGAGCCTGCGATAAGAGAACACGTCTTGGAGAGAACATGGCTTGGCCACAGAGTACCAGAGATTTTGGTAATTTACAGAGGTTTGGTAATTTACTCTTTAGCCACAGAAGTCTCCATTCTGGTCACTACTAGTTGGTGCAGCACGTGTCTCCTCAAAACCCCTGACCCCAGAGTGAGACAGATGTAAATTAGTAAAATAAACTTTATGTGGTTTTCAACTCCTCAAACTTTTCCCATGTTTTCTTTCCTTTCAATATATAGGATGTCTTTCTGTGTCAGACAGCCTGAGATTATATGCAAAGGTGTTTGCTTTAGCAGCTGACATTTACAAAAGAGCCCAACAAAGTTAAAAAGCCCAAAAACCTTTTTCTCTCCCAGCAAGCACAGGCTATTGGGGGTGCACTGCGAGGCTGCAAAGGGATTTCTGTTTCTGCTCTTTAGGCTGAGATTTGCCACCACCTCGAGTTAAAGATCTCTTTACCTCTGTCTATGTAGGTGCTGATTCCATGAGGGTTAAACGACGCCAGATCAAACCCTCGGCTGATTCTCAGTTCCACTGCTCTGGGATTGTCTTCATTCAAATCCATCAAAAATATTTCACCTGGCTTGTCTGGTGCAAAGCTCTTTAATCCTGGATATTTCAAGCCCTGTAAAATCAAAACATAAGAAAATCATTCCTGAATAAAAGGTAAAGGGAAGCAACACAGGACTGAAAACGCTGGAGCCTTGTTCAGGCCTGCAAACACACATGAGGATTTCCCTCTGCTTCAGCCTGCCGTGCCACGATGGAGGCAGAGGGGCCGGCTCTGCTCTCCCTTCGGAGCCTTCATGGCAGTGCAGAGGGAGCAAGCCGCGTGGAGGCCACAAGGAGCCACGGCCGAGCCACCACCCACCACCCGGGCGGTGGCACCTCTGCCACCCACTGCAGCCGCCGCCGGGGTGGGCGCTCCCCGTATGCCAAACCACTCTGCGAACAGACACGCTGCAGGGACAAAATGGGAGTACGGCACCGCCGAAGGCGTCCACCGGGGTAAAGCCATGGGGAACAGCAGTAGTGCGACAGCTCACAATTTCTGGCATGAATTTTGCAACGTTATCATTCCCTGGGTGTCCCTGGAGCACGTAGATGAAAACATCAGCTTTTGTTTTAGACAATAATTGCTAGCCATCCTGATAGCAAAGGAAAGCTTGAAAACCTCAGTCTTAAGGGCTAAAAAAAAATCTGGAACAACAAAATCAACACACAAAATCTGATTTTTTTTTTAAAGGTGGGGAATTAACACATCTTCTTAACAAGGGAGAGGTTTAACATTTCAACATTTCAAGGAAGCAGCATGAAAGAAATTCAAGGTTACGTGGGCAGATAAGCCAGCGCAATAGGATCCATGTGTCAGAGCCACGACCACTTCAGTGACAAGAAGTGCACTTGCTCAAGCAGAAGGAAATGCCGGCTAAGCCAACACAAGTCCAGGCCGTTCCTATGGAGCCAGCCAGCCTTGTAGAAAAAAGAGTCCATCCTGCAATTTTCACCTATGGTTTCTGTAGATAAGGAAGCAGGCAAGCCCCTGCACAGGGAGGGGACGTGGGCACTTACGGAGCTGATGAAAGCCAGTCCATTGGGGAGTATGTCAATGTCTTCTGAACCACTTTCTGCAAGACAGAGATAAACAGGATTTTTCAGATGACATTAAATATTTCCCATCGAAAAACCTCCTTTTCAGTACAATTCCAGCTCTCATGAATGTCCCTTTCTGATATGACTGCACAAGCGATGAAATTCAATGGAAAAGTCTGCATCGCATTCAAAGTGGTAGCAGACGTGGTTACGAAATGGTTAGTTACGTTAGTGGTAGCACGCCAGGTTACGAAATGGTGCTGGGGTTCACCTCTTTCTGGGGACACAGGGGTGCCCCCGTGGTGGCTGGGCAGTCTCCCATCCAGCTCCGTGTGCCCCGGGGCGGCACGGGATGAATCACCCGCTTTTGACAATAGTGTTTTGCAGCAAGCAATTAGCGCAGACTAGGAGATTTTCAGGGCAGGACCATACCCATCACTCAGCCCGCACGCTTGCATAAGGCAGCTCTGGGAACGGCGCACACTAATTCTCCCGGTTGAGCTGGGACACTTCACTAAGATGGATTGCCAAATATTTAGTTAAAGCTCTCAAGTGACAGAGAACCTACTATATCTTTCACAACTAAGGGCTTTAATAGTTAGACCACACTTTAAACTGCAGGTAATCATTTCCAATATTGCCAGTTCCTCTAGTCCCTGTAATATTTTCCCCTGCTAGGAAAATAAAATAAAATAAAATAAAAAATAAAATAAAATAAAATAAAATAAAATAAAATAAAATAAAATAAAATAAAATAAAAAAT